GGCGGCGTTAAATACGAGAGCTTGTATCGGTGGATAGTCTTTAGCTATCCAGTCTTCGGCATAGGCTCGCACTTTCTGCAGGTTTGCGAGGTCAAGCGGTATGAATATGGTATTTGCTTGGCCGAGAGTCTTGTTGATGGACTCTGCTGTATGGTCACGGTCTGAGCGTGATGATATGATGACCAGGTAGTCGGGATGTGCCTTTGCGATCTCGAGCGCAGTATGATAGCCTAGGTTGATAGTGCCGCCTGTGACGATGACCGATCGTTTGTATGACATGTTTCTACAAAGACAAGAACTCCAAGTAAAAGGTTTATAGGTTATATATGTGAGATATTGGAATATGCGGTGATTCTTTCGTCGACTTCGTATTATTGTAGGGTAAGTTGTGCTACGATCGTATGAAATGGTAAAGCAGTCATGGTCAATACCTTATTATATACACAGTAGTCCTCCCACAAGCCCACAACCTATTACCCTAAAGTAGCATTAGTCTCATGGATTCATATGGAAAAGACTCTATTTTCGGTCTCAATTGGTGTTGATAGGGAATGTACTAACTCCGCGGCGCGGTAGCCGGTGATGGTTCGTCGGAGTTTAGGTAATACAGAGGCAGCCACAAGTGAAAGAAGTGTGGCGCATAGGTCTTGGCATGGCAATTGCATTTGAGACGGGCGCCGAGGAGCCCGCACTGCGGAATCCACGCAGCCCGCCGGACATAATGCCCCATAGGCACTCTCGATGACGTCGAATTGACACGCTATTCAGATATCAAGTGGGGACGCATCGATAATTGTTCAACACGGACCAATTCAGAGGTTATTTTATTTTAGTTCGCTTTCACGATACATATTACGTCCGGTCTTCTCTAGAATAACATTCTACAAAGTAGAAAAAAATTAGAAAACTACATATGTGCCGCCATGACCCCAAAGATTACGCCGACGCCCGTCGCTTCTCTTTGCGTCTCTCGCCATTTAATCCCGGCGCATAATCTTATCCCTAACACCAGCATTCAGAACAAGCCCCTATTGCATTACCACGGCGCTTTCCCCCTTTCAACGCTTACTGCAGCCGCCATAGAGTCGCACCTCACATCGATAGGTGTCGTGGAACCTCAGTGGCGATTTACTATGTATTCCACTACTCATTTCCATTCCACCACTCATGAGGTGTTGTGCATCAGCAAAGGGAAAGCGAAACTTTGTTTTGGCGGTGAAGGCAACCCGGGGAAGGTAGAGAAGGACGTTGAGCAAGGTGACGTCTTAATCCTTCCCGCTGGCGTTGGACACAGGCTTCTGGAAGATCTGACGGGCGGGTTTGAGATGGTGGGTAGCTACCCCAAAGGCTACAACTGGGATATGTGCTATGGCAAGAAGGGCGAAGAGTCTAAAGTGCAGAGCATTGCAGAGCTACCATGGTTCGAGCGAGATCCGATCTATGGGGATGATGGTCCCATACTCCAAGATTGACCGAACCATGGGACACTTTGACCTTTCTCTTTGTCTCCAAGGTCAGATACGCTAGTACGCAAGTAGCACAGGGGGTTCGCTGCCATACCGAAAGTCCTTTGTCGACGAAAGCGATAGGATTCCTCGTCATTTCGATCCCAACTTCTAGACCGAAGTTAAAACCCCAGCTAAGCAGCTTTTCTCAGAGATTAGAGATTGGGATGGGCTGTGTCCCCATGCCACATATTGAGCACGGACTAGCACGGACGAACGCATCATGACCCAGACGCAAGCCATCAATTTGGTACTCGTTCGCAGAGATTGGCATGCAAAGAGATGTCAATGCGAATGTCGAAATCTGGGTGTCGGCGTCTGCCACGACGCGCTCGTCGGCGCTCATGATCCGCACAGAATCTTGTGCGACCTCTGTTATTACGAACTGACCAGGATGAAGGGTATCAGAAAGCACACAGCCTGCAGATACCCGTCAGAAGTCCCGAGCCGCCCGTCTTCTATGGAAGAATGACTACGCTCAGTCACGTTGCTGCAATGAGAAGGATCTGTCATTTCGGTCACGCCGAGGAGATAGAGTTCTCGACGCTGCTTGGCTTTGTCTAATTACCTTCAGCGCTATGGCTTCAACGAAGCTTATGCTGACAGAGTTCAATGAGGCTGAAAACTCTATAAGTAGCCTTATTTGGTTCGAACCATGGGAACATATCCACACTCTAGAGCACTATCCATCTTGTTATTGTGGTTGTTCCCTCAAGACCCCCTGAAATCTTTCAGTTGCAACAACATAGCCATCCCATTCATCGTTACGACCAACCGTGTTCACCTTACCACATCTTACACTGGCCTTACGACGCAGCTGGGCTTGCAAACAACTGTCATCATGTGCAAGCTCATTATCACCTATCGCTGTGGCTGTAAGCCGTACGAAAACACCGTCCCTTGCAAAAAGTCGAACTGCCGAAAATTCAAGGAGATAGTTCAGGAATCACTCTGTGAGCAGTGCGAGGGTGACGCTGCGGATATGGAATTCGCTATGGGAGCCTACTGAAAGGCCATGTTCTCGTGAAGCCGGACTGCTGGCAAGGGCGAAGTTTGCTTACGGTTGGTGGAACGGAAAGAAGCTTATTGTCGGAAACTGCTATAAGATATTTGGCCCACGCCGTTCCACTGTGGCCTTGTCTAACATGACAACTGACAAGTCGACGAATGTTCCGCCGGTGGAACGAAAGGCTTTGCTGCGATGAGAGACTCTGTCAATGTCAAACTAGGGGACACTGTACATTACATACATACAAGCTGGAACCGGGACATACAAACTTAAGTGGACAACCAATTCGAAGGAATCCACTGGTTGAAAATGTATACCTTGCCAGTTTCAACATGTGTTTGCTTCCAGTGCTTTTGCTCTGCTGTTGACGTTGCCGGAATCTGGTGGGGAATTTATGATCATACCTGATATAGCACTGGACCGGGGGGAAGCTCTGTATGAACTGGGAGCATACATGTATTTCGGTGAGCGCACAATAGACAGGGACAAAGCTCGTGGCCATGGCCATTTGTATCCCCTATGTTAGCGTACGATGACCCCAGACCAGCATCTCGTTGGGGTGAATCGACTTGCCATCATCTCCTCATTCGTCCGAACGCAATTGCAATGTAGCGATCTGATTGGTCACATTTGTGATATGCTAGTCCACCACTGCCGGTCTGTCACGCTGCGGCGATCTCGTTCGTCACATCGCATGGGCGCAATTGGCCCTGTCAGAGTAGTAGCGAGCAGATCGAATTGGAACATGTATAATGCACCATATAAGACAGAGCGCTGGCTCTGCTCACGGACTTCCCTGGGGTCATTCCCCAGCGCGCCGACAAATGCAATCCCTGCTTTCGGCCAGACTCGACGTCGAGGACGACCCTTGGAATCCTCGCGCATCTCCAGCGAAACATGCTTGGCGCGATCTTCCTCCTTTTGGCTGTCCTCGCCGCACTCGCAGTGGGTGCTCCGCCCCCATCCTTGCTCGCTCCGCGGGAAGACATCTGTGTCGGCGACCCGTACGCTGAGACGAACTGCCTTGTGATCGAGTACCGGGACAGGACCAGCGGGTCATCGCCGCCTGCAGGCCGCTGTCAGGAGGCGTGCCAGAGTATACTCACGGATCCAGACGTCTGGATTATTGACTTCAATGGCATGCCGGCAGGCTACCGTGACGTGCTGGTCTTAGGGTCGTGCATATTCAGTGTCGGGCGGGCAAAGGATACTGACACGAGTGGTTTCTCGATCACGATTAGCAATCAAGACATCGTTGGCGTGATTGAGCAGGCCATCGTCCAGTTTGCAGGCAAGCATGGGGGATTCATTGCGGCAGAGGTGTTGATGCAGTGCGAAGTGACTAAGATAGTGAGGTTTTTCATTGGAGAAGGGATATGACGGTGAACGGCCTCGTATTAGCGTAGGCGGATGGGTACGCGGGTATCTGGGAATGTGTTTAGTTTATCAAGTGTGACCCTCTTAGGGATAGATGGCGTCCGGTACTAAGATCGGTTGTTTAACTTCTGGAAAGAAGTAATTTGGAGGACAAAAGAAAGACGGTTGCCAGGCCCGGAGGCGTTGATGGGGATTGAAATTTCGGAATTAAAGAAATAATGCGTTTGGCTATGCTTCCGATGCGCTCTCGGGATCATGCTGTCGTAGCATATTAGAACACTTTGAAGAACTTGTCTCGTCATCTACAAAACCATAGCATATCTCAAGAACCGGCAGACACAGCCTAATTTATTTACATATTCGCGTATGTAAAATACCTTATAGGGAACTCATACTTTTCTTCATAGTCGCATCTCTCTTCCTCTTGGGACGCGAGATCTCACTCACCAACTGCGTGGTGTTGCGCTGATCGACAGCAGGGTACTGTAGGTGTTCCGTTTACTTACGACGGTTAATGTTGAAATCCGCGTAGCCATTGTACCTGCACAGTGTACCTAGTATGGCGGGTTGAGTGTACAGGCTCTTGATACCTAGTAGCTACCTCCTATGCCACCGCGACGTCAGCTCGCCTAGGTTCATGGCGATTGGAGTTGAGGATTCGATGATCAATGCTCTGCTGCGGTTGGTTGCACGGTTCTGTAGGTATCCAATTACGGTCATTAATATGAGTCGCCATGAGATCGGGTAATCAGATTGCAACGATCCGTAAATGCACGTTTCCGAGAGGCGCCATGATCTCGGCAAGCCACATGCATCGAGGTAAAGCTGTTAGCTCAATGTCAATGTCAATGTTTATCCTGTTGTGGATGAACTTGTTGATGTCATTGCTAGGATCGGTGGCTTTATGTAGTTGTAATGGCTCTGTGTGGAATTGGGCAAGTCTTTTATTCTAAGTTTGCGAGAGGCTGGGGTTGGTGTTCGTGCGCCCGTGTGGAGCGGCTAAATATCGGCCTAGCTTACACATGGAAAGTGCAAAACAGGGAATTTAGGTTGCAACTGCAACACTAAATTCCACAAGCGAACAAGCCAACTTCCGGCATAAGTTTCTCGGTTCCGTAGTATAGTGGTTAGTACGGCTCGTTGTGGTTGCAACGATAAACCGAGCAGACGCGTGTTCGATTCACGCCGGAGCCAAATGTTCATCTTTTTGTTTTGATATCTTTTTTTCATTTTTGATTAATCTATTTCTTTACCATGAAGATCTCGTCGGTTTCGCTCTTGCCAAATTTTCTTTTACTCTATTGCTAATTTTGGTGAGTTCATGTGCGGGACACTGCCACGCCTTTGGCTACTACATACTTCCGACGAGGACTTTTACGTACCATACTGCCATAGCAAGATCTCATCACGAACAAAAGGTTGATCCTCGTTCTACCTATCCCTTTTAAAAGGCTGCCGTAGAAAAACTACCAGATACGCGATGGGATAGTAGATGCGTAAGGTACGTGGATAATCAGCCCTGTTTATATGTGTTGATGAAAGGTTTCCAGCAGTTCTTCTGATGAATGTCTTAAGAGGATCTTGGCAAAATACTTTGCATACTAATGTTTCGACGCGTAGCTATCCATGGATCGCACATTACGGACAGCCGTGCCGGGATGAGGCCCCTTGTCATCCGAAGTTAGATACCCTGGATTTACAAGGAGCTGACGTCGGTTTTTGCTTTTATTTTGTTCATTTGATGTTGCCGTATCAATATTTAACATCCCGGATCGAGTAGTGAATCTCCCCGATAAGTGCAAATATTTACTTAACGTATTATAAGGTCACAGCGTGAACATTTCAATTTCAGACTGTACACAGGCTTCTCGGTCGGAGCCTTGCCTCACGAGAGGATCAATCTGCCCCTTATGGTTGCATGTGCGGGGTAATTCTCACAGTCAAATACAAGCAGGGCCCAGGTCCATGAGCAAAATTTACGTAGCTGGACCTAAAGCTAGGTTTTTGCTCTCCTTTAGCAGCCCGATATTTCAACCCCCACTGTGTTTATCACACTAGTGAGCGATCATGAGGGTGCACTCATCATCCTGGCAAGCTAGGGCAGCTGCTAAAAGGGCAGATACTCTTAATAAGATCCCACCTGACTGGAGACTCAGCCCAACCCAACTTGCACAAGCTAAGAAACAGAAAGACCTCACAGGGCCTTATATCCAGCAATATCTAGAGACCAATGAGATATCTATCATCTCGAAGGACAGCGTCGATATTGTTGAGGAAATCAAAGAAGGAAAGTTGACTGCCGTACAGGTCACGAATGCTTTCTGCAAGACTGCTGCTATTGCCCACCAGATTGTGAGTTCCTATGTCTCACTTCATTTTAATTACTTCCGTGCATGTCAATGACTTGGTCCACTGAACCGTGCAATACTTCCGCATAATAGAGCAACTGCCTCCACGAGATATTCTTTGACCAAGCTCTCGAACGCGCAGCATGGCTCGATGCTCAGTTCTCTAGCACAAAGTCAACAGTTGGGCCTCTCCATGGGCTACCAATCAGCATGAAGGACCAGTTCCACGTCAAGGGTGTTGATACTACGATGGGCTATGTGGGATGGATAGGGAGCAATCTCGGAATTCGAGATCCAGAACAAGCCCACAAAGTTGAGAGTCAAATTACGTCTGAGCTCTTGTCACTTGGAGCGGTGCTGTATTGCAAGACCAGCTTACCCCAGACCCTCCTGTTTGGCGAGACTAAGAACAACATCATTGGTGAAACACTGAATCCCATCAACCAAAACTTGTCGTGTGGTGGCTCTTCCGGCGGCGAGGGCGTTCTACAGGCGCTTCGGGGCAGTACTTTAGGTATCGGTACGGATATCGGAGGTTCCGTTCGAATTCCCGGAGCATTCAATGGTATATTCTCCCTAAAGCCAACTCCAGAGAGACTGTCGTATCGTTGCACCGCGAATAACAATCCCGGAGAGAATACGTATCGCTCAACCGTTGGATTCCTGAGCACTTCACTTGGTGGATTGGAACTACTTCTCCGATCGGACCTTTCTACAAAGCCGTGGCTTAGAGACCCGGCAGTGGTTCCACTGCCTTTCCGACATGAAGTAGTGAGCGAATACGAATCGCGAGCTAAATCTGATGGGATCGCCAACCCTTCCAGTAAGCCATTGAAGCTTGGTGTCCTGTGGACGGACCACGCCGTTCAACCCCATCCCCCTATTACCCGTGGTCTTCGTACGGTGGTAGAAGCCATGAAAAGTGCTGGGCATAAGGTACCGTGTCAATTCTCTCATCTGTCTGGCGTCTGGTATGTGTTAGAAGGAATTGCTAAGATTCATGGTAGGTTGTCGATTGGGAACCGCCAGTCCAGGCCACCGCAAAAAGAATACATGTAAGCCATCAATGTTGATACCACTACTGTAATCGGAGGGTGTTTTTGTCGGCCTTTTACGAATTTACTAAAGTATGGCAGCTTGCTTTCTTGAAGGCCGATGGAGCACATGATATCCACGAACAGCTCGACCTCTCAGGCGAACCACTTATCCCAGATCTGGAAGATTCTTTCAAGCTGAGAGATCCGATGGATCTACTTGAGTATCAAGACCTAACACTGCAAGGTCTCGAATATGAGGCCGCGTACTCTGACTATTGGAATTCAACAGTAGAAGAGGATGGCAAGTCTGCTCTCGTCGGCCAAATACGGAAACTCATAACTGATGCCTTAATAGGACAAATCGTCGACGCGGTCATCATGCCGGTGGCGCCGCACGCCGCCGTTATCCCAGGAAAGTATTACCACACCGGTAAGACTAGGAGTCATGGTTACTACGGTATTTCCTGCGTTCGTGTCTGCTAACTGAGCTTGAAGCATATACCGAAGTTATCAACTTGATGAACTACAGTGTCGCCGTCATTCCTGTCACAAGGGCCGATAAAGATATTGACGTTGTCGACGAAACCTACCAACCCTCTAATGAGGCTGACCGGCAAAATTGGGAAGCCTGTTAGTTGATTGGCACCCTCTGCTTGGGACACATACTAATCAGCTAGACGATCCTGAAATCTACGATGGCGGGCCCGTCGGTCTGCAGCTTGTGGCGCGAAAGTTCGAAGAGGAGAAAATCCTAACCATTGCCAAGATCGTCGTCGCCGCGATGGAAACTGCAAAGAGGAAGGGGGCCTTGGCTTAAGCCTTCATTGAAAGTGAGCCGGGGCCAAAGGCTTGACGATACGTCGTCGTCCTCGGCTGGAAATTATTTCTTTCTTGAAACCGCTCCTTATCGAAATATGGCATCTGCGTATAGTCAATCGTTTGCGGCGATATGTGGGTCGCCCTTGAATACCCCTGAATTACTATTATGGTTCCTGCGTCATTCGCTAAGCGTATTGGAAACTCTAAGTTGGTTTACTAGGTATTCAAGAACGAGCCTGAGAAGACATTAAAGAGTTGCGCACAATTTAGAATATGAAGACTTCAATTTCCGAGGGAAATGTCGTTTTAAGGCCAAGGTAAATTCTTGCCATTGAAGCTATTACAAGGTGTAAAAGCGTGAATAGTTTGACAACCTGACAACCTCAATATTAATTGATTGAAAGTGTACTGATTGGCTGGTTTGGCTCCCGCGTGCGAGCCTTGATTCGTTGAATTCGAATTGCTGACGGCGTTGTTGACCACAGCTGGCGTGTTGATTGGCTACATTTGAGTTATGGCCAAAGAAACGTACGCTGATTGGCTCAGTTACCTCGGTACAGGTACATGTAGAGTTACAGGTTAGAGGTGTATCAGCTCACCTGTAGACTCGTTATAGGTCACATGAATGCTCAAGTGATTGATAAATATTGATGATATTGATGATTGTTCAGTATGGGATCTGATCAATCTCTAAAGCCAGACCACAAACGGCAAAAGACCAAAAAATAGGTAAACGCCTTACTCCCGTGGGTTATCGCATGATCTCTGGGTATCACATGATTTATCATCACCTGACTTGGATGGCATAAACGTGCTGATAGCATAAAATATGCATATCGACGGCGGGCCATTTGAACTAAAACCGCCAACCCGCCAAACCATCAAATCAATCTTACATAATACATTACGAATCTTACCTAATACACTATACTGCCTTGTACCTAGGTACCCAGATGAGAACGCTGGCGCTAAAGTCAAAATGAAGCTATTCCCAGCCAATAGAGTGTATTTATTACTACGGCAATTGCGGCATTCAAATATAGACTTATTTACATGAATCTATCGTAGAACGTTAAGAATCGCGATGCATCAATTGATAGGCTAAAAGCGCTCATTGGCAATCTTACAAGCGACCTTACTAGTGATCTTACTGGTAGCCGTACTGAGGCCGTACTGGTGGTGATGTTGATGTTGTAGAATCTAAGTTTTTGAATTTTTGGATCGAGGAAAAAAAGTCGCTATATAAGGGGGGTTATCCCTTATCTTATCTATATTGTATGACCTGAGAAATTATGACATAATACGGTACGTACTGCAGTACAGTATGTATTACACAACGCACAGTAGATACGTACTGTGCAGATATATTATATAAGCCGAGAAATCATGACATAATACAGTACGTACCTAAACACAGTATTTATATATAATGCACTGTACGAGTTTATACTGTATACATATATATTATGTAATCTTGGTTTGGCGGGTTGGCGGTTTGAATGTAATGGCGCACCATAATATCGATATAACAATATCAATGTTATCTCACAATTTTCTTGGCTAGACTTGGTGAGACCCACTTATTATTAGATTCTACATGTAAGCTCAAGTGCTAGACGAAAAGATTTCCTTCTCATCACAAAGGATATTGAAGCCTCGAAGTCAGATACTCTGCGACGTCTACCCTTCCATTCTCCCTTGCAATGTCAATCGCTGTTTTGAACATCGGACTCTTGGATCGGGGATTAGCACCGGCATCGAGTAACATCATGACTATTTCTAGACTTCCGATTTGCGAGGCCACCATTAGTGGCGTCCATCCCACCTTAAAGACCCTCTCGATTCGTTCTTGTGTAGTTGTAGGTAATGCGGACGTCGATTCTGTCTCACTGCCGGCATTTTCATCAATGATACTTATGCTCTCGGTCTGAGCCGTCGACCACATGGAGTCCGGAGCGCAACCAGCATCTAAAAGGCATCGCACGACGGC